AATTACAGGTGGGATTAAAATATTGGAAGTTAATAGGTTCTTTGCTTAGCTAAGTAATTTAAGTTGAAGATGCATGCCTCTGCAATCTATTAATTCAGTAAAATTATTTAATTTTTCCATATTTATCATAACACATTACACCATTTGTAATTTTGTTGTTTAAGATTATTATTAATATAGAGAAAATATGTAAACTAAATGTTAATTTTCAGTTTATAGGAATAAATGAGATTAAATTTGAGTTGGTCCCAGCCCAATAGCGCAATTGTTTTAGAATGAGAACTAAATAAATATATGGACTTAAAAGATAATAAATTCATAATAAATCAAAAGTAGCACATAATAAGTTAACTATGCATGTAGACCTTGGAAAAGTGTCTCTTAAAGTTGAAAATTTTAAAATAATACTTTAAATAAGTTTAAAATTTTAAACTAAAACAAAGAATTTACAAAAAGTGAGATATGAAGTGAGACTTACTGATCTTCAGACTTATTGATCATACAAATGAAAAAAATCACTAATGAGTGTTGTTATTAAGACAATTATTTGATAAACATATTTTAGGGACTTTTTTGAATAAGACCGATTATATATATTAAGTATTATACTTATATTTTTGCCATATGTTTCCTTATAGATTAATAAGACTAGATCAAATGCAATTTTAGTAAGAACAGTTATGTTTTTCAGAATGACTTTAGCAACGAATGGACAAAATAATTCATAACATTGGAAGTGATCAACCCAGAAGTTGAATATTTTATTACTGATAAAGATGATTCACTCTGTATTAAGGAAAACTATCAACACTAAGCAGCCTTTAAATATTACAATATCAGTGTTTACTGTAAAAAAAAATATATAATAATTGCAGATTACAAATGGTAATAACAAAATTACCCCAAAATTGGATACAATAGCCCATTTTTTAAAATCCATAAACTTATAAAACTCTTCAAAACAAAAATAACATACATTCACCATTGTTTTCAAAAATTATAAATAGCAATTAAAATAAAATCTTATGCTAATATAATAAACACTCATCCATATACACAGAAGCTATAATTATTTTCCATGTGATGAGCTTGCTGGCAGTACACAATGTAAAGAAAATTACATTCACCAAATTAAAGCCTTTGTAAACAGAGGGATTACACTCAAAACTTGAGCTTGGGCTTGAGCTCATGTGCACGACCGCCCCAGTCTAGACGGTAGCACCGAGTCCGCCACGAGATCTCAGGATTTAGAAGAGCAACCGCGAGAACTAATGGCGCACAGCACTCACTCCATACCCAACCAAGAAGGAACTGCACTTTTGTAAATGGTGGTGATCCATTCTGGACAGAACGAAGCATCAACCAGTCAGACAGGAACCACACAAGCACATGCACTAAGAAGAAAGGTAACGGTTCTGCGCCGAACAACTGCCCAGCAGCCCACGCGGCGCCAGCACCGAGTGGCAAGCACTCACTTAGGGGCTCAAGCAACACGGTAGTGGGCACCATGGCGATTCGCAATCGCGCCCAGCGCGTCAGTCTCGCCTGTAATGCACCCACCGATCGCGTCCCAGAATTTTGTAACGCGGGCAAGGAAGCCACACGCATTCGCCATCCACGCGATACCACTGCTTTCGCCATGAAATAATCCTCGGCAAGATATTCACCAAAAGCTGCCAGTCCGCCCGTCTCCTCCAAAGCGCATCGTCGTATAAGCGATGACATTCCAACATGACAATTTATTCCCAAAAAGTCTGCACCGAGGTACATCCGAGCCTGAGCAGTACCGAAGTATACCTTTTCGTAAACACCGGCAAATCCCTCCGCATCACACGTAAATGGCATTTGATGAACAATTGCAACATCGTCTCTCAAATGTTGCACCATATCAAGCAGAGTATCGTCTCGCATACGAATGCCGGCGTCGCTAATCAGTATGAGTGGATGTTTTGCCGCCAAGTAAGCCGGTTGCATGTTGTTGATTTTAGGATTTACACCGACACACATCCCACCGACGAAAAGTTGTGCTTCAATATGTGGATATTTATGCAATAAGCTGTTGACCAGCATTACAGCAGGATCGTGCTCATTCTCAACACAAAATAGCACTTCGTAATTTGGGTAGTCAAGGGTAAAAAATGTTTCCAAGTTGGAGAATAAATTAGGGTCGACGCCTGTTAACGGTTTAAGAATTGAAACTCCCGGATAAGGTTGCTCTGGCGGTGAACGGTCCACCGTTCTGTGTAATTTCCATTTCGAATACGATAATGACATTATGTGAATTAACCACAGACACACCCAAGCAACTATAAAAAATATAGCAAAACCATACACTGTATACACCATGGGCATCATAATTGTAAAATTCTATCGTTTTGGCGTTCGGGCCACATAATATCGACTGGTTTTACTTGTCCCGAACCGTGCGCTATGATAGTATCATAACACTTAACTGAACTGATAAGAACTAAACAGTAGAAGTTAAATAACTACGTACACAATTCATTGTATATTATCATGTCATTTTTATACTTTGCGATCGTTAATAACACGAATTTATTTGTATGACAAACCGTTCACTTTTCACTACAGCCACAGACTAATATACAAAGTACTATACATTTTATATATCCGGAAGACTATTTTTTTTTAAACTGGCGTTACGGCTCTGCGTTCTATCCCTTCTGCGCATGGAAGAATAATATGAACCACGGCACAGACAACTCTTCAGTGCAAAATACACACAGACTAAAAAGAGGTTACCACGCATAAAATACCAGTAAGTATCTTAATGTGTTGCCGTTTTTTTTCGTCGTCAAAACTTCCAGTAATAAAATTTTGGTCCTCATCACGTAAAACATGACGATATATGGATATTTATCGTTCGATAATTATCGATACTGTTATAAAAATATTGATAAATTTTTTCACTTGTCAATCTCTAAGGTACCTAAAACTAAAAATTACTGTAGGTAGGTACATTAACCATTAACTCTAGCCTTTGATTTAATTTAGGCCTCAGTGTTTCTGTGTTAATAGTTAGATATAAAAATAGAGAGAATATAAATAGAGTCCTAGAAAGTATAATGATATTGTATGCTGTGCTTTTTACCATCGAAATTAATCAGTACGATAAAGTATATTATATAATACTAATGATTGCCACTTTTTAGCTGGTGAGGGTGTTATTGTTTTAATAAATAACGATTGATTGGTGATCATTTTAATTGCTGCTCGAATATATAACGTAATCTATAAGGCTAGATTTATTTTAATTTTGAGTGATGCAGGTGAGGTAAGAATAAATACAACGTGGCCGCTACAATGGTGACTTTAATTTAACATATGAGTAGGGCTTGTGCCCATTAATCATATTAATGTTGATAGGTTAAAATAACTCGAAAATTGAAAAAATATATTTTTCAAACCAACTAAATAATAAAAAAGTAACTAAAATTGGGATGACTCTTGCAAACATTCATTCATGAAATTACTTACCTAAAATCTATACTAATGGGCTGACTCCCGCCAAACGCGCGGTTTTTGGTGCAAATTGTGTTGGTTCCACATGCCGTTTCTGGTGAACGTGCTTTGGTCAGTCCAACAAATTTGGGAAAGAAAGTCACCGTCTTCTTCAATTTTACTCAGTAACTACTGACAATATGTTACTAATATGTTACTAATGAAGCGTCAGTAGCCTAATGGCAGGGCGCGAACCTCGAACTCGAAAGGTCGTGGGTTCGAATCCGCCATTCGACTACTGTCGCGAACCATTTCCAACACAAGCATTTTAAGCTTAACATGTCTACAGGTGGCAGGGGTCGCCATAGTTTTATGCGGGGCAGTCGGAGCATCCACGCTCAGAAATAAGAGGGTAGCTTGACCGTGGATGCTCAGTGAGGGATTCTCCATTACCAGGGGTGCTGGTACCCTCCTGGAGTAGTACTTTCTTTTGGAATTCCATTACCATGTTACGGGGAGGGGGGGGCCTCCGGCCACTTGCACTTACCAAACGAAACGCAGGAGCAAAGCTTTTACATTACGATGGTATTCTGTGAGGTCGTGGTACTGCCCCGTTTTGAGCCGGCTCATTCATGCTACAGCAGAAGCCACGGCGTGGCTCTACCACTGTTATAGTATATAATCAGTATATAATCTATGTTTAAAATGTTAATGAGGGCTAATAATGATTTCTTATATTTACGCGAACACTACACATTTTTAAATAAAACTAATTTTACGGATTTTATCGCGTATATTAACTTATTTTTAACTTATTTTTATATTCCCGACGTTTCGGGTGCTTTCCAGCACCCGTGGTCACGGGGGACTGAGTTGTTTGACGTCCTGCTGTCATAGTTAGCCCGGCTACCTTCAGTTTTTTAATATTAATTTTTGGTTCGATTTACGCAGAATGAGCTTACAGTATCTTGAAGTCTAGCAGGGCTAATAATCTTCCACTCACCAGATGTCGCTAGTTGACATTGAGTTAAAGTTTTTTATTACACAATGTTATTTAATTAAGTAGTTAGTTTTAAATAAAAGTTTATCAGTTTCTAGAGTATTATATTAATATAAAAATGTTTTAACTCTTTTTTTTTCTATATATATGAATACCATCTGGTTTGGATTATTTATTTTTAATTTAATCAATATAAAATATAACTAATAATACAGAAAGAAACATTACATAGCCTTTACGTTTTTCTAATAAATTAACTTCCCCATTATAAAATATGTCAAAAATATTATACCTCATTTTTAAGTCGTGCCGCCCTGGTGGCAGAAAAAGTCGTGGAATTGTTGGCAGCACTGATAATATTTATGTTTATGCGTCTATGGGACATTAAAGAATTTATTTTTCTATATATTATTTAATAGGTACCTAGTTATCTGTGGAATTTATTATCTGTCCTATACACAGGAAGTGACATTCGGATTTAATTCGCGGGCAATCTTAAAATATTATTGAAAATTCCGTTTTATTTTTCGTTTCTAAAATGGACATTAGTAAATTATTCAAAAATGTTAATAACTTAAATGAATATATATCGGCCTCACAAGATGTAGAAACCAATTACAAAAATATTAAAATTCAATTAAATATGTCGACAGTTCTCGCCCTAAAAAAAACAGGATCACTCGAAATTCAGGTAATTGTGATAAAATTGATGTATCTTATAAAATTATTATTTATTATTTTTATTAATATAAATATTTTGCAGTATTTCAATAAATGTGAGGGAAATGGCGCTGCTGTTAAAATATTTGGACTATTGTTACTTTTACCATCATCTAAAACATGGAGTCTTCTAGGACGAGAGTTGGTCTCACTTTTAAAGTACTGGCTTGATGCTTTGCGCAAACACCTCATTTTTCACAACGATCATTGGTGGCTGTTTTTGCAAAAACTGTTGCAGTTCATAAAGGTGATTATTTGTTTAATAATACTTAACATTTTTAAATTATTAGAATCCTAATTCAAAGTTTAAAATAGGTATTTAAAATAGGTCGTGTTTACTTTTATTATTAAAAGAATATACTGCCTTTTTCTAAATTATTCCATTATATTTTAATGTAAAAAATGCATCTCAAAATAGTACTTTAGGTAAATGTTGTCAATTTGTTTCATTCATTCATTTATCCCACTCATCTTAAGTTCACTGCTGAACATAGGCATCTCCCATATATTGCCTCATAAAGGTGTAGGGGAAATTTCTGCCATGGTAGCCATGTTTGGCAGGTGGGTTGGTACCTGCAGTGTTTTTATTATTTTTGTTGGGATCTTCATGATCTATTTTGAATTTTTTTACTGTCCTGTCTTACAACACACAGAGGATGATACGCAAAGCTAATTCTCTCATGCTGCCACTACATAGTAATAAATATTGTTTATTAAAATATTTTAATTTTATGCTTTACTGAAATTGAATGAAATTAAAATTGAATTGAATTTAACGAATTTAAATTCTTGCAGGAAATAAGGTTGAAAGATAATAATAAAATTAATAATATACTAGTGGAGGAAACAGCTGAATGTTTATTGGACCTAGCTACACATGATCGATCTAATATCTTTCAGAGTTATAAAGTGCTCTGTTTGTTTAATTTGTGTGCTGCCAACTCCAGCAGAGAAATCAGATTTGCTCTAAGGAAACACTTTGACTGTTACTTGTAAGATGCATGTATTAATTTTGACCTTTAAATTGTTACAATTTTTTTAAAGAATTCTAAGTTGTACCTAGCCTTGAAGATAACATTTTTCTTTACTACTTTTTTGCATCACATGAAAAAATTATAACTGAATACTTATTGTGTCACTTTAGTATCAATCTGTTCACCAAACAAAGACTACTAATCCAAAAAAATTGACTTATATAATGTTCTCCTGATGGAATTTCAGTCATGGTGGCCAGTCTCAACGGAGACTAGCCTTCTTCCCAAGACAGGGTTATAGTTCTCGCGTGTATGCACAAGCACCGGTGCACTCTCTATTCCCACACTCTTATATTCTAATGGTAATTGGACAACCAGAGAGAATAAGTGCTGGACCAACGGTTTTACGTGTTTTCAGAGACATGGGGATGTAACACTGCCTACTTCCTGACTCTTGGCTGCTACTGAGATTTTCTTGTCCCAAAAACCCAATATCAGATTTTGACCTGACCCGGAATTTCAACCCAGGTCCTCAAGATCATCAAGGTCGCGTGTCTCAAATGTCTTCAAAATAATTATTTCAAGTTATTCCTCACACATGCAAGTTTCCTTGTGATGTTTATGACCTTCCCTAAGCTGGCTTTTCTCATGTTCAGCCTTCTTTTTATACATAATCACATTATAGTTTTTTAAATAATAACTTTACCACAGCATCACACCTGTCCTGGGCCCAGATTTAGTGATGCTTTTGGCGATAAGAACAGAAATCCTGATATATGGTAACTCTATCCCTGAGTTACAACTTACCACGGTTCATAAATTAATACATTTTCATGCTGCACGTTTGGCGTAGTGATGTGCACTTACTACGATAGCAAATAATTCATGTATACTTTTAGTGCATGGTGCATAAGTAATAGACTGTTTTGAATAATAATAATTATTTTCTATTCATTCAGCATGTAATAGATCTAAATAATATAAAACTTCGGATGCCGACTCGCCTGCCAAGGTGGAGCGTGAAGATGAAAGAAAATTAAAATTGAAAATGTATGTAATGTAAATAAAACAATTAAAAATTTAATGAAAACAATTAAAAATTTAATTTGACTTGTCGATAACATTATGAAAGAAACTGTTCTTCGTTAAATGTTGCATTTTCATTAAATAAGGCCGGTGGCGCGCAATATGCCCGCTAAGTTCATCTTTTGCCGTCACGTCTGCAGCGATAAATTGTATTAAGTTTAATGTCACTCTTTTCCTTAAAAATTCGAATAATTTTTCGGTTTAGTTTCTTAGAAAAATCTACAATAATTTTTATAATTTAATATTAGAATCAAGCTGTCAACATTAATGGCTTCCTGCGGAGATGTGGCGTACCAGTATAGCATTATGGAAGCCCTGCTGCGCTGGTTGGTACCGCGTCAGGACCCCACATTGAGGTTGGAAGCGGCCGCCAAGTGGTTTCCAGATCACTTGTATAGTAGATGTGCTGTGGATTTGTTTCTAGAGAGGGCGTGGAAGAATTTCTTTCAGGTGACAACACAATATTATGGAAATAAAAAGTCTTAATGTTTTTTTTACAAAGTTAAAAGTCAACGTGACAGAAATTAAAATAATTTAAAATATCTCGACCGGGAACTGCGTTCTATTACGTACATAAACATCGCACTCCTGCTGTCCCGGCTAATTTGACGCGTTGGTATCACCACACAGTAAATTTGTCGTGTCACTGGGTGTGAATTCGTGGCCTATTGATCAAACTACTTTATTATTTTTCCCCGGCCCATAGAAGTCAACCGCTGATCGTTGACTTCTGATTATCGGAAGAATTTGCCATATTCATCACGCTCGGCAGGTGGAGTAACGACCAGACTGTAGCCGCCTTTGAGCACCGCGGTTGCCAGTCGCAGTCTCTCACGTTTGGGGTAAACGAGATAGTTATACTATATGTATCGAAAGCATAAGATTTGATTGGCATTCCCCGAAATCGCCTCTTAAGATACTCGCAGGACGAAATGGGGTTATGGATTCTATGACCCCACTACGTGACGGTAAAGTCAAAGTGCTAAGTAGGAGTCCTGGACTGACGCCGTCCCATCTGAAAGGGGTAGTAGGTACCGTATTGACGTTACCAAAAAAGTTAAAACATAATAAGTACGGTATGCAATGTATAAAAGTTGCAGCCTATTTACGTCCCACTGCTGGGCACAGGCCTCCTCTCATTTCTGAGAGGGTTTTAGGGCAAGGAAATGTCCGCTGCGCTGCCCCAATGCGTGTTGGCGAACTTCACATATCTTCGAAATATTTTTTTTTCTTATTTCTCAGACATGGTAAATCAGCACTTAAAATTGCAATTAACAATTTCATTGGTGCCGGCGGGGATCGAACCCGGGTTGCACGAGTACTGTGAAGCTTACAGCGAGCGCTAACCATCTGAGTTACCACGGCTCTGTAATATATATAAAAATGTTATTATTATTTAAAATTCATGTTTTTATATAACTTGCTTAAAACTCAGATTTTTTTTAAATCTAACCACACCATCGTCAGCGACGGTATCTTTGAACGCGTGGTGGATGACGGTGTTTTTGTTGGGTAACAAATACCGTTAATGTTAATTTATTAACCTTTTTCTCGACATCAAGATATCACTCATTTAGAAATATTACTACATAATACATAATCTTGATTCTACTCAAAAAATTTTAGTAAAGTCGCTCGCAAACTCACTCGGTGATACGATTTGTATAGTCATTAAATAAGGACTTAAACGAGTGAGTGCGGTAGTTCAATGTTGAAATTCGAGGAACTCTTTCAATTTGCTGACACGAAGACCTCAAACGAGATAGCTCATGTGTGAGGGACATATCACTATGCCCAACGGCCGACCACACCGCATTAAGTTTCCCCGTTTAATTAAATTTCATTTTGTTTTTTGCGGGGTAATTTTTTATGTATTCTCTGGAAAAGAAAACAATATCTTAATACGATACTTATAAGGACCCTCACTGATCAGGCAGGACTTTTTATATATCGTATATTAATAGCTGTGGTGTTTTGAAACGACAGTAGCCTTATGGCATAGTGCGGACCGCGAACTCAGAAGGTCGTGGGTTCAAACCGTCATTCGACTTAACTGTTGTGAACCACTTCTAACACAAGCGTTTGAAGCTTATCAGAAGTGATTAAAGGGAATATTACTAATGTTAATAGCTCCCTAGTATTTTTTTTATTTAATAAAAAGAAAGCTGTTACCTGCCTGCTATTTTTTATAATTGTTATAAAGAGTGTCATATATCCCCGTCCCGTTAGTCACGTTCAAAGGGCTTAAGAAAAATTTTCAGAAGACCTTTGAAGGTGACTGAACGACAAAAATCCAAACAGACAAACTTGAAGATTAGGATGGATCAGTCAAATTTAGAACTTAAATAATAAATTATTTTCCCCAGGATGCAAGAGATTTTCTCAACGCTCATAACGCGTTACGTGATCTTATTACCTCGGTTATCTGTAAGAAACTGACCATTGGGAGCACCGTTGTAATATCAGTAAGTTTCTTCGAAATACACATATATAAAGGATTAGATCAGGGGTTACCAAAGTATGAGCCGTAGAGGGTAAAGAGGGGCGTCGTGAGACGCTCCTGTTTATCATTCTCCGGAAACTAAACTTATGTATTCGTGGGTATAAAATAAACCGGTTTTCCAGCAATAAAGAGCAAATATCGCTCTAAGGTCAATTTGGAACAAGAAATTTGAGTAACGGTGTAAAGCCATATTCCATGCTTTCAAAAAATGTATGGAGATCACACGTCATATCGACTAACTTACCATTGTATTTTATTGCCTATTTTTAAAACTCTACATAGTATTATTGTAACTATTTCGACTACCTAGGCCACCTAGACAAAATACTAAACCTGTTAGTGCGCCGCGAACTGAAAAGTTTGGGAACCCCTGGATTACATTAATACGAAACCTCTATAGATTTATTTTTTGTAATAACGTATTTATCTCTTTAAACCTTACAATTTCTTTTCTTACTAGTTCTAGAGTTCGTTAAATTTTATTGTTACATTTACATTACATTATCATACGTCTACTGCTCTTAAAATTAGAGTGATAAGCGATCACGCAATCTATCTGATGGTAGGTGGATGCTGTGAGATACAGACATCTACATCTATCCTCGATTGACAATAAAATGCAGATGCTTTGTCAATACTGAGGATGAAGATTGAATGCCTCCATAACTTTTTTTTATGGGATAAGGGTGACAAACTAGCAAACAATCCACCTGGTGGTAAGTGGTTGCTGCGGCCCATAGACATCTACATATATCCACGTTTACAAATGAAAATGCAGATGCGTTGTCACCCGTGAGGACTAAGATGAAATGCCTCACTTCCAGTAAAAAGGCATCTGGTTCTCTACACTTACCGTACGAAATACAGCAGCGTTAAGCTGCTATTTTAAGCTGGTATTCTGTGAGAGCGTGGTCCTTCCCCAGTCGAGCCAACCCATTCGAACTACAACTATACTACTTAAGGCTACTACTATTACCATAGCTTACTTAAGGGTCTCCTGTTTTCTACACTCAACATACGAAACAGCAGCATAACAGCTGCAATTTCACGCTGGTAGTTTGTAAGAGCGTGGTCCTTTCCCGGTCGGGCCGAACCATTTGTACTGAAGCCATTATTTATAGCACCAGCTTGGGTCTACCACGTACACCTGTACTTGCGCAGACACTCGTGCACTATATTCCTGTCATGCGCAGGTGGCTCGTCTACGTTCAGAGTGACCACCGTGACCAAAATTCGGTCTAGACAGCATAGTTATTTTACGTCTTGTATTTACAAGCCATATTGTTATCACATTTCTTTCTGATCGGCTTGACTCACTGGCGCTGCGAAGAGAGAGATAGAGAGTTACATATCTTTGCTTAATCTTGCTGCTGTGTTTCGTAGTATGGTGAGTGTATAGCACCGGTGACCTTTTTTACTGGAAACGAGGCATTCCACCTCAGTCCTCAGAGGTGACAGCGCATCTGCATTTTGATTCTTAATTGAACATAGATGTCTATAGCCCACAACATCCACTTAACATTAGGTGGACTGTGTGCTCGTTTTTAATTCTTATTCTATAAAAAAAAGTACTCTCGATTAAGAATCGAAATCGGATTTGCAATGCACTGTCACCTCTGGGTACTAAGATGGAATGCCTAGTTACTGGTGGTGACTATTCAGCTGGACGGTTGCTCCCCTACGATACCTCCGTTGCTACGCACATGCCCTGTTTCAATTTTATTTGTTAAGAGGATATACCCAGCAGTGTGGTGTAAAATAAGAACAAGTCTATCAATTTTTGTTACTTTAGGGCTCAAAGAGAAGAGATAATTGGTTGGACATTAATTCTGAGACTAAATGCATATCAATTATATTGCATCCGGAGTTGCTCGAAATGCTAGGGAGCAGTTTAAACCCCCCTTCCTGTGAAACTCTTGTATTAACCGAAGCTAATACAAGTGAAGTCAAATTGTGCAGGTAAGGTGTATAGTATAGTGTAAATATAGTAGCTAGCTGGCCTAGTGACGTTCGGATTCTGTTCTCAGCTGTATAGGTGAACAATAAGTATTATTACTATTTTTTCCAATTGGCAATTCCAAAAGACTTTTTACAGTGTAAAAATATGAATTATCATAATCATTCATCAATGTTTACAGTGTGAATCATCACCTTTCGTGTCTGCGACTTTCTTATTTGGCACAAAACCGATATATATTGTGAATATCACGCGTTTGGTCTATATAGTAAATTTAAAGTTGCAGCCTATGTACGCCCCACAGCTGGACACAGGCCTCCTCTCACTTATGATACAGTTTTAGGGCAAGAAGAGTCCACCGCGCTGCCCCAATGCGTGTTGGCGGATTTTTCATGTTTTCGAAAAAAAAATATTTCTCAGAGTAGCAGGTTTCCTCACGATATTTTCCTTTACCGCCGAGCACCTGGTTAATCAGCACTTAAAATTGCAATCAACAATTTCATTCGCGCCGGCGTGGATCGAACCCGGGTGGCTCGCGTACTATGAAATTTACAGTGAGCGTTAAGCCCCTGAGCTACCACGACTCTGGTCTATGTAGGTCTGTATAGAAGTTGTTAAACTTGGCTAGAGCGCCACCTATCGGACCGTAGACAGTTCATAGCTACGCTAGCAGCAATGAACGATCATCTCGACAAAACATTTATTGTGACGATATCCGGGGAAGATTGAGACCAACTAGCCCATCGCATTAGTAGACTGAAGTGCCAATGGGCCGTATATAACACGAGTAGCTCGAAGAACAGACAACGTACGTGATAGAGCCACGCCGCAGTTATATTATGTTTGTAGCACGAATGGAACAGCTCGACCGGGGAAGGACCACGCTCTCACAAAATAACAAATAGATGCTACTGTGTTTCGTATGGTGAGTGTAGAGAACCGGAGACCTTTTACTGAAAACTGGGCATTCAATTATAGTCCTCACGGCTGACAACGCACCTGCATTTTGATTCGCAAACGAGATGTAGATGTTTATGCGCCACAGCAACCATTACCATCAGGTAGATTGTGTGCTCGCTTGTCACCCTTAACCTATAAAAAAATAACTTAAGTTAGAAATAAAATGATAAGTTATTGTGGATTTGATCGACTCATGACTTCACACGCCTTTTAATGTGTAAGTCGATAAATCATGTATTTAGGTATATACATACAATGTTATTAAAAACAATGCCTTTATCTTTATTTTTGTTTAATTACTTATGAAATTGCCGTTTTTATAAAATGAGTTAACGTATTTTTTTTGTGTATATTTTAAATTTCTATGAATCTAAGTAACCACCCATGCAATCGATGCATATTTGCCAAAGCAGTGGCAGTTTATTGTTATTAGTTAATTTATTTATTGATGCCCTTCTTAACAAATTCTTCAAAGGTTTTTTGTACTGCCTCTCGGGTATTGATTTTTTTCCCGCCAAAAATTTATCCAAATTCTGGAAAAAGTGGAAGTCTGTAGGCGCAAGGTCTGGTGATTACGAGCTTCCAACCCCCGCTCTTGTAACTTGGAGACTGTCTGTTGTGCAGTATGAGGTAGCGCGTTGTCGTGCAGGAGCAGCAGGGACGAGCGATTGATCAAAGCTGGTTGGAGATGTGCGGGCTTCTCCATCATTGTGTTCAGTTCTTTACAGTACACATCTGCAGAAATGCTCATCCCGTTTGGTAAGAAGCTGTGATGAATCACACCGGCGATACAGTGACCACCAAACAGTGATCATCACTTTTCTAGGGGTAAGTTCTCGTTTAGGGCATTGTTTAAGTGCTGAACCAGGATCAAACCAACTTTATGAGCGCTTACGATTGTCAAACAGAATCCATTTTTCGTCCCAGGTAACAATGCGGTTCATAATTACATCGTTTGTGTGCCTTTTGAACAGTGTAAGGCACTTCTCGACGCGTACTTCGCGCTGGCGAACATTGTGTTAGTGGGGCACCCATTTGTCAAGCTTTTTTACCTTGCCAATTTGGCACCAATGGACCAATATTGTTTTGATGCTAACGTCGAAAGCTGCTGCTACTTCAGCCGTACATTGAGTATCATCAGCTTCCATAATCACCTTTAATTCGTCATTGTTGACCAAAGTTTTCGGACGACCATGGGGTTCATTTTCAGGTCGAAATTTCCTGAACGGAAGCGGGCAAACCGATAACAGGTGGTGTGTTCGCTTGCAGTATTCGCTCTGTAAAGTGTAAACGTCGTTGATGTTGCGCGCCGCTTGTGCCGCGTTGCTGCCACGATGGTACTCATATTCCATAATTACTCGAATTTTTAACGTATATTATACGTATTGGTGACGAAAAAGATTCAAATACGATTAAAACATAACGCTAATCAATAAACAAATAACTAATTTAAAAAAAAGAGTTCCTTGTTTTTAAAATAAAATTAATTTTAAATGAGAATTCTTAGCCAAACAAAAATTATTTTGATTTGAAATGGCCAGTACTGCAGAACGGCAATTACATACGTAAAGACCTATTATTAAATTCACTTCTCCGTTAATCAGCTTTTAGAATACGAGTTCTATCCGATTAAATACAATTCCAGGGAGGTGATGGATATCTTTATCTCGGTGACGACTTTAGAACCACCACAACTCATACCATCTTCGACTAGTATTACGGGAAAAGGCAGTATAGATGTGAAGATTGTAATAAGTTCTAATAGTGACATGGTGAAGGTCGACAAAGCATTGCGTGGGATTTTTGCTGATAAATATCAGGTAAAATTACGTTCTTAATAAAAGTAGAAATAACTGCTTAAAACTGATGTCATTTTCGCTTTTTCTTTTCTGCCTGACATTTGAACCACAGATTAAGTAATAGTCACCGCAGATTAACTAATAGTGCTTGATAGGTGAAGAACAGTACTTTTAAAAGCACTTGTTGCTAAAGCTGATCGTTGAAATAAGTGTCATCATCATCATTACAGCCCTCCATAAGTCCACTGCTGAACATAGGCCTCCCCCAAGGAATGCTACAAAGCTCGGTCCTGAGCCACTTGCATCCATCGACTTCCTGCATGCCTTACCAGGTCGTCACTCCATCTCGTGGGGGGTCGCCCTACACTTCGCCTACCGGTACGAGGCTGCCACTCGAGAACCTTTCTTCCCCATCGGTTGTCGGTTCTTCGAGCTATATGGCCGGCCCACTGCCACTTCAGCTTACTAATCCGTTGGGCTATGTCGGTTACTCTGGTTCTACTGCGGATATACTCATTTCTTAGTTTATCACGCAGAGAAACCCCGAGCCTAGCCCTCTCCATAAGTGACCTTGAGCTTCCTCATACGGCCAGCAGTGAAGGGCTACGTCTCAGATCCGTAAGTCATCACTGGCAACACGCCCTGGTTGTACAATTTCGTTTTAAGTTTTTGAGGTATGCCTGACGAAAACATGTGTCGTAGTTTCCCGAACGCTGCCCAGCCGAGTTGAATCCGTCCATTGACTTCTCGGTCGAAGTTGGACTTACCTAGTCGGACTATTTGTCCCAGGTAAACATACTCGTCAACAACTTCGAGCTTAGTGCTCCCAACAACTACCGGCATAGGTGTTGTTACGGCCTACAGCTGCCTATCTAATAGTAGGATCTTCCCGGCCCATGAAGGAAGACCTTACAAGTAGGTGCAGGTCGGGCCTCCTAAGGCCAAAGTGGAAAATCTCTAGTAACAATAAACAATAAGGGGGGGCGTTCGATCCCGCTGCTATTCAACAGGGAGAATATTAAACTGAGCTTACTTACCTATATCTAAGGCGACTGGTCCCTCAGGGTTCAGTCAGGTCGCATGAGGTTGTATGGTGCATGGGAAGTAAGGGTCAGTGATGTGTATATGTGTGTGACTGAGTGTGGTAGACCTTATGAGACCGTTGCCGTCGGCAGCAGCTCGGACTTCAGCACCGCTCCAAATTGTGGTAATCTTCCGCGGAGTCGTCCACAGTCACTTTCTTCGTTCGTCACGAGGACAGTCCTATTAGATTCATTGTACATTTAACTAACTAAAACTCGCCTAATTCCACATTCATCGTAGAATCGAACACGTGATACACAGTAATGGACAGTAGTTCAAAGTTCAACATTCAATGTCCCGGATTCACTTATCACAAATTATAAAGAGGGAATTAAAGCGATCTATTAATGAGTCATACTACTCAGTTAAACACAACTAAGTTCCTTCATTCGACACCATAAACCACGTCGCGAAAAGATTCAAAATACGCCTCGTTGACGCGTAAATTAATAAGCCAACACACACAAAAAAGGGCACTTAACGCGACAACACGATTATAATGATTTCCTGATGAACAACCGGGAGAAGCTCGCGAACAAGGAATGCGCGGTTCGAACCCCAGACCGTATATTTACTCGACGCGAGCGTGCACAATTGCGCATCCCCGAACAAGTTTGAAGGCGTGCTGTCCCAAGCACAGCTGGCAAACGACTCGTATTTTACGCCGCGCGTTCTACGCACGACCGAACGTCAAACCGGTATGGCGCCGAGCCGAGCGCCCTCTGACGTCGATTCCGAAACCAGCGTTCGGGCGTAAACAGGTGTGACATGGACATTAAATATGATCTTTGTTTTGTCCATGTTCATCCTAAGACCTATTCGTTGGGAGACACTATTGAGGTTATTGAGCATGGTGCTTAGGTCCTCCAGCGATTCTGCCATAAGGACTATATCGTCGGCAAATCGAAGGTGAGTGATAAACTCGCCATTGATGTTAATACCGTATCCTTTCCAGTCCAGAAGCTTGAAAACGTCTTCCAATGCAGCGGTGAAGAGTTTCGAGGATATAAATAAGTGTGTGCTTTTGAAAATACACATTACCTTTTTATTCGAGAAGTAGAAAATCGGCATATCGAAACAAATATTTTTCTACAATACAATGTATATATCTACTACCGCCATGACATCTACCACACACGTTCCCGTGTTTTCTTTTTTCCCCATAAATTTAAATTAAAATTCTTTTATTTGTTCGTAAATACAGTGTTAGGTGTGAGTAAAATTTACGGTAGGTATCGTGTATTAACGCACAGTGTAGTGTACAAATATATTTCTTTTTGTTGTAGCCAATTCAAGTAAAGAAGATAAGTTAAACATGTTATAACAATACAATAATCCTCAGTGTCGGTGGTATAAAATATTCATAAAATGCTAGGTAGTGAAAAACATCGTGCAATGATATCCATGACACAACACATTTCGTAATGGCGCCTTTACGTTTATATTGAAAAATAAAATATGTCAAATAAATAAAAATGTCATCTATTCAAACATAAAATTAAAACATAGGCTAAATTATAATTATTCATTTATTTTATTATTATTACCTATATACACGAGTCAACAAATATATTATGTAAATGTCAATATGTATGAGTATAATAACAATGAGATTAGAATGGCTCTCCAGCACCTTAAAAATAAATGGCAAGGCCCCAGCCGAGGATGGGATTACAGCGGAGCTTCTGAAAGCGGGTGGAAAACCGGTACTTGAAGTCCTTCAGAAGCTCTTTAATTCCGTCCTCCATGGTGGCACTACTCCGGAGGCATGGAGCAGAATTGCGGTGGTCTTGTTCTTCAAGAAAGGCGACAGCGCTCTCTTGAAGAATATAGATCGATTTCCCTTCTGAGCCGCGTCTACGTGCTGTTTTCGAGAATCATTACGCATCGTCTCGCATGCAGACTCGACGTCTTCCAGCCTCCTGAACAAGCCGGTTTCCGAAAAGGCTTTAGCGCCATAGACCACATACATACCCTTCGGCAAATTGTACAGAAGTCCGAGGTGTACAATTTGCCATTATGTCTGGCGTATGTGGACTATGAGAAAGCCTTTGATTCCGTCGAAATTTGGGCGGTGCTGCAGTCCCTTCAGCGATGCCAAGTTGACTGTCGGTATATCTCAGTCGGTCTGCTGAAGTGTTTGTACAGTAGAGCTACGATGGCTATCCGGGTACAGAATCAGAGTACGAAACCTATCCAACTGCAGAGAGGTGTAAGACAGGGTGACGTTATATCCCCGAAACTCTTCACCGCTGCATTGGAAGACATTTTCAAGATTCTGGACTGGAAAGGATACGTTCGATTTGCTGACAATAGTCTTCATGGCAGAATCGCTTGAGGACCTAAGCATTATGCTCAATGACCTTAATAGTGCTTCCCAACGGATAGGTCTTAAGATGAATATGAACAAAACAAAGATCATGTGTAACGTCCATGTCACACCTATGCGTGTAGTTGTTGGGAGCACTAAGCTCGAAATTGTTGATGAGTATATTTACCTGGAACTAATAGTCCGACTAGTTAAGTCCAACTGAGAGGTCAATCGACGGATTCAACTCGGCTGGGCAGCGTCCGGGATGACACATCTTCTCCTCAGGTATATCTCAAAACCTGAAAAAAAAAGATTGTATAACCAGTGCGTGTTGCCAATGATAATTTGTGGATCTGAGACGTGGTACTTCACTGTTGGCTGTATGAGGACCATCAAAGGTCGCTCAGCGAGCTATGGAGAGGGCTATGCTCGGAGTTTCTCTGCGTGATAAACTTAGAAATGAGGATATGCGCAGTAGAACCAGAGTGACCTACATAGCCCAACGGATTAGTAAGCTGAAATGGCAGTGGGCCGGCCATATAGCTCGAAGAACCGAAAACCGATGGGGAGAAAAGGATCTCGAGTGGCGGCCTCGCACCGGTAGGCGTAGTGTAGCGCGACCCCCTACTAGATGTAGATGGAGTGAGAACCTGGTAAGATATGCAGGAAGTCGATGGATGCAGGTGGCTCAGGACCGTGCTTTGTGGCATTCCTTGTGGGAGGCCTATGTTCAGCACTGGACTTGTGAACAGCTGTAATGATGATGATGAGCAATGGTGACAGGATATCTTGTAGTGGTTTAAGTTTAGTTGGTTTAGTTTCCTCTTTTCTCTAAGTCGGGTTTGCAGATCGAGCTTCGATGTTTTGGGTTAAATTTAATTGTTTAATGCCCAAATACTCAAACGCTACATAATTTTAAGATGTCAGAGTGTGTCACAGTTACTTTGAATTAAAGTGATAGAGATAGCACGAAACTTAATGGCATCTTAACATTTTCGCTGTCCTGTCCCGTACACTGCATATAGGTTATTGCTTTTGTGTTACTATTGTGTCTGAAAACCGGACAGTGAATGTGTTAAAATTGAGTGGCGTTTGAGTATCTAGGCATAAGTGTTTTTTTTAAACGTAGTAGAGTCATTCTGCAACTATATTAATTGTATAGTTGTAGCACGAATGGGTCGGCTCGACCGGGGAAGGACAACGCTCTTACAGAATACCAGCGTAAAATAGGAGCTTAATGCTGCTGTGTTTCGTATGGTGGGTGTAGAGAACCGGATACCCTTTTTACAGGAAAAGAGGCATTCCATCTTAGTTTCTTAGTCCACACGGCTGACAACGCATCTGCATTTTGATTCGCAAAAGAGGATAGATTTAGATGTCTATGGGTCACAGCAACCACTTACCATTAGGTGGACTGTGTGCTCGCTTGTCACTCTTGTCCTATAAAAAAAAGTAAATACTGACTCGGTCGTGGTTTATACCGGCCTTATATAGGACCTCAGATAGTTTCCAGAACTTTCTACTGTAGAAACATCTAGTATGTTCGAGTACATATCGGTCCCGAAATTTCTAGAAGGAACTTGACTCTCCTAGTTCTGCTATTCGATACTAGAGGGCGCTAGTGGTAACTAGTGTTGCCATGTACAAGACATTAATAGTGGTGCGCAACAATATCAACTAATGTATATCGTCCCTTGAGTGTGGTAAGAAGCTAAAAGGGAAGCAAGCTAGGAATTGTGCAGTAGCATCATTCTGTTATCAGCAAAGTCAGAATATAAGAAAGCTGTGGTGGCTAAACCGTGGCAATTATGACAATATACTTCCCGTGATGAAAAGCACAAAGAAACGGGCCCCGGTCCCCGGCAGCCCCGCTATTCGTGGCTACTGTAACGACCATGTTAAATGCGGAGCACGGGGTGCTAAGAATCGCCCGTGGAGGTTCTATTGCCACCCTTAATGGCTCGACCTGGCAACATTCAACGCATGCACAAGTCTGTCTTTAATAACGTTGTAAAGATTGGGGTAGTGTCGACGGGGATTGCGGACCATATACTCATAATCACCAAACGGTATCCGTTGAAGGTCATACATGGTTATGCACCAGCCTGATGTACAGCCCGATGAGGAGGTGAAGGAGATGTTTGAGAATAACTCTAGAGCCATGTATTCCTCCAAAACCCAATATACGGTGTTGATGGGAGACGTCAACACAGAACTAAGCACAAGAAAGGACTGTGAGCCGCAGGTAGAGAAATTTGGTATAGGACGAACCCAAAGGGTCAATAGTTAGCCAACTTTTTGGAGAAGGAGGGACTCTTCATTCAATGAACTTTTTTTTCCAGAAGCGGTCGCACAGGAAGTGGACCTGCTTTAGCCCCGACGGTTTGATAAAAAAAAATAGATTGAATTTATAATGACGACAAGACGGTAACTGTTCAGTAATGGCTCAGTGATCGCGAGGGTGAAAACTGGTAGCGATCACCCATCACACTCACACAGGATGGCCTTACCCCTAACTAAGTTTACAGTGCATTGTCATCCACATCTGAGCTTCATTCAAAGTTCTAAAACACACGCGATTGTAAACATTAGTGTACATATTTTATTGAAATTGTATGAATAAATATTTAAACTTCATGCAGGTACTTTTTGACATTGAGAGTACAATGAACCTGTCGCAAGAGAAAACTAACAGTTCAGAAAGCGATTGTGACTCTGTAAGTAACATCATTGTATTTTGAGCGTATCTGTGAGAGTATAAGTGAGCGGATGAGTGAGTGAAAGAAATCATACTCCCTTTTTTATGTAACAAATAATATGTTATAAAAAATCATAAAGTTTAAGTTACAACCTATATACGTCCCACGGCTGGGCACAGGCCTCCTCTCATTTCTAGAAAGGTTTTAGGGCAAGGAAGTGTCCGCCGCGCTACGCTAATGCGTGTATGCGAACTTCACATGTCTTCGAAATATTTATTCTTATTTATCAGACATTCTGGTTTCTTCACAATGTTTTCCTACACCGCTGAGCACGTGGTAAATTAGCACTCAAAACTGCAAAAAACAATGTCATTGGTGCCGGCGGGTATCTAACCCGGGTTGTTCGCGTACTGTGAAATTTACAGCGAGTGCTTAGCCCCTCACATTCCTCTCATAAATAATCATGAAAAATATAGAGTAACTAGCAACTATCGTAACATCATTCTAACAAGTCTGAGGGTTGCATAGCTAAAGATACGGGGCAAGAGCGAATACAAAGGCGGGGGAGTCACGGGGCTATGCCACAATGACGTAAAATTATATAACAGCATTTGCATTTTTTTTTGTAAAGTTCTTATATTTGTATTACTAGCTGTTCCCCGTGACTTCGCCTGCGTGTTTTTTGGGTTTTTTTTTTGCGCGGAACCCTAATTCTTTTTCTAAAATAAAAGTAGCCTAAGTTACTCCTTGTGACATCAGCTATCTGCTAGTGAAAATCTCGTCAAAATCGGTCCAGCCGTTTCGGAGATTAGCCGGAACAAACAGACAGACGGACAGACAGACAGACAGACAAAAACTTTAAAAATTGTGTTTTTGTTATTAGTACCGTATGTACTTTCATATGCATTTAGTAAAAAGCTGTAATTTTGACATTACAAACAGACACTTCAATTTTATTTATTTGTATAGATGTATAGATTACGAGCGATCATTTTTCACCTTTGGGCGTTTGTGTAAGGCTGTACGTTATGGTAATGGTTTCGTCGAACACCTTGCTTTTTAATCATATTTTCACAGTAAAAAGCTGTAGCAATGGCAACACACTGGTACAAATGAAAATTAAATTGTTCGTTTTCCTAAGTCTTAACTCTATTATTTATTCTGTACTATAACTAAAGCAATACAAAAGTCCATCACACATTCTATTTCTAATATTATTGTCAACGATTTAATTAAAATACTTTATATATAATTTTACATAATTTTAATTATAATAATAATTGGTAGTAAAGACTAGAAATGAGTTGGGGGGGGGGGGGGGGGAATCGAACTTTAGGCATAGTCACTTTGAATAGCCTATTATGTAGAGGATGTCACGGGAGTCATGGTTGAATAGGGGCAAAAGGTTCTAATTACACTCCTAGGGGGACAAAATGGCTAAAAACCAAAAAATTTAAATTTCTTATTTCGGCTATAACTCCGCCTCCTTCGGTGGTTCATACACAATCTTTACTTCACGCATCCCACTAATTAAAATTAATAAATCTAAAATTGGACGTGGTTATGCAAAAAAGATCCAATCCGAGTTTGTTTCAAAAATGTTGACTTGAAAAATAATGTTTGTGGTCTATACTATTATGTGATGTAACAAAAGAAGAAAAATTACAAACAGACAGAAACCATACCGATAATTTGAGTTTATGATATTTGAAGTATGGATACTTCAAATATCATAAACTCAAATTAACTTATCGCGGGTTGGATCCTTTTTGCATAACTACGTCCAATTATAGTAATTTTTATCTTTGGTTTTATTTGTTAAAATAAATGATGGTATCATTCAAAGAGTATTTGAGGGTAGTAGTAAAACATTATAAATTGACAGTGGTCCTAAATATTGTTTGTATGAAAATATTATTCCAGTTTGTACAAATATATTATTTGCATTGTGTTTAGGAAAACAATACAAGGTTCTCGCATCCGAAGAAGGCTCTGCGTCTAGGCAGACATACAGGTAATTAATTATTTAAGTCCCTCTTTTACGGTATAGGCTATACATTTTTATTACCTTTCCCAATGATATAATACAATTTAATATTGTATACTTACTTTTAACTTTACTTCGGTAATTTACAAACTTGTCATAAAAACTGGTTTATTAAATGCTATATTGTAGTAATTTTCGCAATAAGACTATTGTAAAATTGTAATATAATTCTGCGAGTAGTCCAGGAGGAATCGGCGTACGAGTACCGAAAACTATTCCACCTCAATTGTTTTTATGCGACTCTCTTCAAATGGCCCTACTAATGATATAAATGCAGGTTGCCATGGGGCTACTCGGTGCCATATTGTTTAAACCATTTTTTTTTCCAATTGCAAGGAATTGCTATTTTCAAACAGGTCACATTTTTAGGCTTTAATGAAATACGAATAAAAATGGTCCTATGACTTTTTGCGATAAAGTAAATATTTTCGGAGTTTGAATTGTTCAACTAGAGTTAGGACAGTTTGAAAAGAAATTCATAAAAAAATGGAGGTGGAATAGTTTTCGATACTCATGCGCCAATTCCTCTTGGACTACAGGACAGTTTTTATTAACAAAATTCATCGATCGCTAATAAAAAACTAGATGCACAATCAGTGACAAAACATGTCCTTACCGAATGAGCGCTACTGGAACATTTGGGTGCGCTTTTAATTTGTACGTAGCTTTGTGAATACAACTTTAGACAATGCATTTAAGGTTGAATTTACATTAATGTATATTTATTTCAACTAGAATTACGTCAAAATAACTGACCACAGTTTTATTTTATTTTTTGTATTTATTTTATTTTTATTACATATTTTTTTATATTTATTACAGCTCATCAAATGTCCACTGCTGAACATAGGATTTTCCATAGATCACCTCATATAGAAAATATTTGCCATGACGCGTTGGTCTAGTCGTTGTAAACGCGACCTCCGAATCGGTCGGGCCAAAAAATCGATTATTGAGTTTTTCCGTCAAGAAATTCTCAGTAGCTGCCCGGAGTCAGGAAGTTGATTGTCTCATCCCCGTGCCTCGGAAAGCACTTAAGGCCTCGGTCCTGCGCCTGATCTCTCTCCGTTTCCATCTGACTATGAGAGTGAGGGAATAGGATGTGCACCTGTGCTTGCGCATACACTTGGGCACTATAATCCTATCCTGCGGCGTTAGCTAGTCTCCATTGAGCCTGGCCGCTGTGACCAAAATTCGGTCTAAAGGACATTATTATTATTATTATTATTTGCCATAGTTGCCACTCTGGGCAGGTGGGTTGGCAACCGCTGTTTTTTATTTTTTATTGGAACGAAATTCCTTATCGGACGGTACGAATTTGGCGAGAAAAGCGTAGACGGCCTTGGCGGCTATAACGAAGCGAGATAAAATAATATCCATCTCCCTCGCACTTTTCTTATCTTGCCATGAAAGAAATATTATTTTATTTTAACTGACGCTTCATTTTAATAGACGCTAGTAATTCATTTATTTATATTTGTTAATCAATAATATAATACGTTTATCAATAATAATATACCACGAAAGGAACTTCGTTCCAACCGAGTGTTCCACGACACTCATGCATGTTTTATTTTTTTGTTATTAGGAAGATGATCCTGTACTAATCTTGCTTTGTTTCCCTCCGTCGCTTCTTACTACACCCACGAGACGTTATACGGTAGTGGATATCCTAACACCACCACTAAACGGCATTTACTTTACAAATATTCGGCAGTGCTACTTTTACAATGAGCACATCCACGACTTTTTCTGCCACTAGAACGGTGCCACTTAAAAATGAGATATAATATTTGACAGATTTCATAGCGGGGAACTTAATTTGTTAGGAAAATTTATGGGTTAATGTTCCTTTTTATAATATTAGTTGTATTTTATGTTAATGAGAATAAAAATAAATAAACCGCACCACAGATATTCATAAAAGTAAAAAAAAATTAAAATAAAAAAAGAGTTAAAAATGTGCAAAAAATTAAAGAGCAAACAACGGAGACATTGTTTTGTGTATTAATATAATACTCTAGAAATTAATAAAGTTTTATTTCAAACTAACTTCTGAGTTAAATGAGTTTGTGTAACAAAAATCTTTATCTCGGTGTCAACTAGCGATATCTGGTGAGCGGAAGATTAGAATAGAATTTAATAGAAATTTTTTTATTCAATATTGATTACAAGTAATTCTTATTGAAAGTCATTTTTTATTTTACCACTGGTTCGAAAAAGCCGTCATTGAGTAGCGTTATTAAACAGCGATTAATTGCTAGGTTAAGGCTTCTGACAAACAAAATAATGTGTGTGTGCATTTTCAATGGCTTGCTTTTAACAGATTACTATAAAAATTTGATGAGATGTGCGCGCGTCCGCGAAGGTTTCTAACACACAAAATGACATATTGTAACTCATGCATAATTTTGGAGTATGAGGAAGATCATACCAACTTTTCTCCAAATGCCAAGTTTCCCTACATACGGTTCTGATATACGAACAAGGATTTAGCGACGTAATTATGGCCGAAAAACCATAAAAAGATGATAAACCCAAATCCAGAATGGTGATCGGTAGCGGTATTACCAGTGCGAGGGTATTATTGGTCCTGCGCTGATCCCTCTTCGATTATGTTAGATTGTCGTCCCAAGGGATATGAGAGTGAAGGTATAGAGAGTGCTTCTGTGCACGCGCACACACTTTTCCTCTGTAATCCTGTCCTGCGCAGATGGCTAGTCTCCGTTGAGATAGGCCACCGTGACCAAAATTCGGTCTGGAGTGGTTTAAAGGCCGGTGAGCATAGGTAGATCTTCCAAGTGTTGTGTGCCAAGATGACGCATTGTTGGAAAGGCATAATTCTAGCGGTGTGAAATTGTAGCGAAATGTGGTGGAGACGTAAAAGAATTCATCACCCCGTTTCGTCCCATGAATACATAGTACTTATATATATATGTAGGGAGTATAATGGGTATAGTACAGAGACTGATTTTGTAGTTAGGAATAATAATTAATTCGTTTACACGAATTAATTATCCAACGAGTCGAGGATAAACTAGTAATGGAATAAATACGTCAAGCGCACCGTTCCACGTTAGAGCCAAGACTGTCTTAACGGCGGCCGCTCAGTCCGTTTTATACAAGCAAGACGGGCGGCAACGCAGGTGCAATGCCGCAGGTGTGCGGTACACGTGTCGTTTACAAGAATTCTGTCTAGCTAGACCAACGCCACCGCATCTACAACGGTGCAGGTGCCGTCACGGCCATACTGACATGCGTGCGTCCTCGCACGCGCTCTATCACAATTTTAGTTATCTGTAACAACTGTAATCTGTAAAACATCGTTCGATTATCCTGACAAAACAGCGTCTGGTCCGGTCTATACTGAACCTTCAGACTCGGGTGATAATCAGTTTTGTTCCGGCAGTAAGCCCTACAAAACTTCTATCACCTTTATGCTAGATCGGAATGATTAGTCTGTAGCTTTTTCTATTTTCTCTTTTTTTTTCAAGTACTGTTTTCGCTAGTCCGGAATCACTATTCCCTATAGCTATATCACTGGACCGGCACAAAGCCCTGCAATGATTGTAAGAACTATTCTTTTTCCTTAATCTCTTTTTTCAGCACTATTTATGCTAGTCCGGAATCACTATTCCCTGTAGCTATATCATTGGACCGGCAAACGCCCTGCAATGATAGTAAGAACCACATTTTTTTTCTTACTCTCTTTTTTTTCAATTCAGTATAGAACAGTTACAGACCAACCATACCCCAAACATGTCCCCGTCACAATCACACAAAAGTGTATCGTGAGGGACGTAGTGACACGATAACACCTAAGTATGTAAACCAACAGCAACTCGACACATATCCCAGTGCAGCACAGACCAGCCTCCCTGCAACTTCATGTTCCTTTCCTGCACTAGAATAATTACTTCGCTAGAGTGTTGCAACGTTTCTAGTATTTTCTAGATGCACAGACACGGCTACCTCTGACTGTCGCACGTCCTCGTGCGGTTGACAGTGAACAGCATACGGTCTATCAGTTATCATCACCTGCTAACAGATATTAACTCTTGTTAAATATTACAACGGTCGACCAGCCCAGAATGCATTATAGTCTTTCACAAATGTAATAATCATCATACTATTCGAAGATTGTATGTGGGCAAAAATGGGGACTTTATCCTACTTCTGATGTATGAAGTATAATGGGTATAGTACAGAGACTGATTTTGTAGTTAGGAATAATAATTAATTCGTTTACACGAATTAATTATCCAACGAGTCGAGGATAAACTAGTAATGGAATACGACAAGCGCACCGTTCCACGTCAGAGCCAAGACTGTCTTAACGGCGGCCGCTCAGTCCGTTTTATACAAGCAAGACGGGCGGCAACGCAGGTGCAATGCCGCAGGTGTGCGGTACACGTGTCGTTTACAAGAATTCTGTCTAGCTAGACCAACGCCACCGCATCTACAACGGTGCAGGTGCCGTCATATATATATATATATATATGTATATATATATATATATATATATATATATATATATATATATATACAGGGTTATTTTTCAAGAGTAACGAAATTTTAAAAATAAGTTACCGTACCGTTATTGCTGTTTTTGAAAATACGAGTAAATAAGGCTTCTACTTTTCTGCCGACTTCCAAAAAGGAGACGGTATTCAATTCGACTGTATGTTTTTTTTTTATGTGTGTTACCTCATAACTTTTTACTGGGTGAACCGATTTGGATGATTCTTTTTTTATTTGAAAGCTGGTACTTCTCGTGTGGTCCAATATGAATTGATTTTGATCAAGGTCAGATCAATAGTTTTTGAGTTATTCTTAATAACTTATATTGAAGTCGGCTGTACAAAATTTTAAATTATATTTGAAATTATCCCAAATTGAATGTGATTAACGCCCGCCATACACGATCAAGTTTACCGTCAAGTTTGCAGCGCACTTGAAGCGACGTC